TTTTTTTTTTTTTTTTTTAAACCTCCAAAAACCAGTTGAGAACTCTGGCAACAAAAAGATTGTGAAAAAAAAAGAAAAGGATTACTTTTCACTGTTTTCAGTCCATGGCAACGTGCACATGATCGTTGAGCAGCTGCCATGCTAATATTCTTGGCATTTCACTATTTTTAGTATTTTAAAGATTTTATCAGATGTCCTTAAGGGACCCTATATGCATTATCATGTCATTCATTTTTCTGGCAAGAGAGGCGACGTGCTCTACCAGGCTCTCTTTCTTTTCCTTCGTTTGATTGATTTTAAAGAACCTTGACGGAAGAAAATGTATTAGGAAAATTAATACGACACAAGACAGAGGTGATGACCAGGAGGAAGGCAAGCAGTAGGATCGCCGCCGATGAAACCTTCACTGGATTGGCAGGCAGAAAGAATGACGAGCCCACACACACACACACACACACACACACACACACACACACACACACACACGCACACACACACACACACACCTGTCTCTTATACACATCTAGATGTGTATAAGAGAAGAGAGAGAGAGAGAGAGACGGCAAAAGGCACTCGGAGAAAAGAAACACGCTGACCTCAAAGCGGCGGGACAACCCCTCCAGATCTTCTCCCCCCACCCTCAAAGCATCTTGTCATGCTGTGATATTGTCTTTATTACTCAGAACAAAGGGCCTCCTCATTCCCCCTTTCCAAGTTGCCCTGCTCACCTCCCCTAAAGGAGAGAACGCTAGACTTCGATCTCTAGCATAAATCCCTTGCCAATGAGCTGTCGCCGCGCGGACGACAGAGAAAAACAGCCCTCACTCGACTGCTTGCTCGCTCGCTCTCTTGCTCCCATGATTGCAAGTGAACCCCATCAAACTCTATTTCCTGTTCGTAAATGTCTCTGAGACCATACTCCCACTACGACTTTCCACAATGTATCCAACTGCAACTATGGCCAGACCTGGATGAATCTGCCTGCAATCACATCCAGAGCATAGTAGAAAATGTCCCAGTGTGAAATGTCGCTTAGGATCCCCCTCGGAAAGTCGAAGAGACCCCCGCAATCACGCCAGATCACCAGAGCTGGCAGGTGCCCTTTCGAACAACATGAATCTGACTGCAATCGCGTCCAGGTGACTGGGACTGTTGATGAGACCCAGCCCTTGAAAAGTTGAAACTCCATTGAACAAGTTTGACAGGTGCCCCTGCTCAGTTCCCAGGATTGCAACGTTGAATCGGGACATATAAACTTTGCGACCTGCAGCTAGCAGGTACCCCCCGTTCATGGACCAGACCGACTGCTGTAGCACCCCAGCAAACAACTTCCCCTGGTCGATACCCAGGCTCGGTCCCCCAGCATCACAACCCTCGGATCAGGACTTATGAACTTTGTGACCTGAAGCTGGCATGTACCCTATGATGGAGGGGAACCCCCCCTGAGAGCGAATGGCGGAACAATCCCCCAGTGACAGTGGGGCTGTGTCTCTCAGCCTGAGAACATCCTTTGATGGACCGGCCCCGCAGCTGAGAGGTACACTCGATGACTCAGCCAGCACGATGAGTCCCGCAGCTGAGATGGACACTTCTTCCATGCACAAGTCCTGCAGCTGAGTCTGATCGAATCAGCCCTACCAGTCCCACAGCTTACAGGTACAGCTTAATGAACCAGCCCTGCTAGTTAACAGAGAGGTTCACTGGATGGACCAGCCCCACAGCTGAGCGGTTCACTGGATGGACCAGCCCCACAGCTGAGCGGTTCACTGGATGGACCAGCCCCACAGCTGACAGGTACACTGGATGGACCAGGCCCACAGCTGACCCACAGCTGAGAGCTACACTGGATGGACCAGGCCCACAGCTGAGGGGTACACTGGATGGACCAGGCCCACAGCTGAGAGCTACACTGGATGGACCAGGGCCACAGCTGAGAGGTACACTGGATGGACCAGGCCCACAGCTGAGAGGTGCGCAGAGGTAGGCCTGCAGGGCCAATCCCACATGATGGAGCTGCTCAAGATCCTGGATGAACCAGTCCAGAGCCTGGATAGCGCTGGTCCAGAGCTTGGACGGGCCAGTCCAGAACTGGGATGGCCCGGCACCACAGCTGGAAGGTACCCTTTGATGGGCCAATCCCACACGATGGACCAGGTCCAGAGCTTGGAAGGACCAGTTCAGAGCCAGAGCTTGATCCATAGGTTGGTCCCGAGCTTGGATGGGCCAGTGCAGAACTTGGATAGCCCAGCACCACAGCCAAACTGTATCCTTTGATGGGCCAATCCCCCCACATGATGGACCAGGTCCAGAGCTTAAATGGAACAGTCCACAGCCTGGATGGGTCTGGTGCAGAGTGTGGTCGAGAGCTTGCATGGGCCCAACCAAAAGGTACACTTTGATGGACCACATGATGGACCTGGCCCAGAGCTTGGACGGACCAGTCCCACAGCCAAAAAGAAAGAACCCTTTGATGGACCAAGCCCATGGCCGAGTTTGATGGGCTCGATTGGAGACCTTAGAGTGACGGGTGCTTGCAACTGGAGGAATCTGATGTCGACCGGCCCATCTCTTTTTTACTTGGACCAT